ATATACCGGCTGGTTCTATGGTCGTACATCTCGTTCCTTCTTTTTTGGCCGGCGAACGTAGAGAGAATCGGAAAGCGGGAGAAGAGGGATGGGGGGGGGGGGGGGGGGGGGGGGGAAAGGTTAAGAATAGCGGGCGGTAGCCGTTCAGACGATGCAAATTCAAGACCGAAAACATTCGCGATGTATAATTCATCGCTGCTGGTCCGCCTACACGCGATACTACGCGTGCTCTCGTGACAATGACACAATGTTTGCGGTCGCACGGAGGATGTCGTCGCATGCATGCGTCGTAATCGCGTGCGGAGTGCGGTCGGAGCGCGCCTCTCAGCTCTCGTGGTACTAAGAACGGGTCTTGAATGAAGTCTTTCGAATTGCGCGCGCGTGTCACGAAGATTTAGTGCTGCCGAGAGAGAAATGAAGGATTCGATGGACAATTTTACGAATCGTTGAATAATCGAGGCGTGAAAATATATTTATAGAACGCGAAGGAAGTTTAATTTTCCGTCCGCAATCTAAATCATTAGCAAGATTTTACTTTCAAATTGCTTCCTTATTTTCGCTCAAATTTTTATTATAATAAATAAAAATAAACAAAATAATGTCTTAAAGAGTCAAAAAGAATTTTCGTTAAACAATAAAATATATAATTAGTCATTTTCAATAAAATTAAAACATTACTTAATACTATAAATCGAGTCCTTATTTCTTTTTTATTAATTTGTTATAATAAATGAAGGTTTAAGTTAACATTTAAGTTAAAAAATCTTATCTGGTAATACGATGCAGATATTGAAAAGTAACTCTGAATTTTTTTTATGAAAACTTGAAAAAGTAAAAGAATTGGGATTAGACAAAAAGGATCCAGATTATAGACGGAAGATTGAAAATATAGAGAGATTGATATTGCTTATACATATATTATATATAATATTAATATATGTTTCGAAATCGAATTAAAATGTCTATTTGTTGTGTTTTTAAGCGCTGGTTATTAATTACATTCCGCACCGTGTATTTTGCGCCTAAGTTCTAATCTAGTCTAAGTTTCTTGACACTGTTTTTAAATTTGAAAGCCCTATGAACTATTTATCTCCGTATATTTCCACAATGTTACATTTTATACATTTTCAAAATATCCATTTTATGCTTTGAGATGTCATAGAGTTGGAAATAGAAAATAGCAAGTAAAAAAGATAGTATAAGATCTGACGAATACTCGAAAACAATAAATGTCCCCTATAGAAAAATAATGATAGAACTACAAAAATAATTTAATTCATTTTCTTTACTTGTACATTCCATTATTCTTGCTTTGAAATTGTACGTGCACATTCGTCGAGTGTACGGAAAGAGTTCGGGTGACAAAGCATTTCATCAAGCGAGTCGCGAGCTCTAATGGTTTAAGTTTTTCGTTGCGCCACGCGGGTATCCGAAGGAAAAGCGACGTTGGAGGAAGGGAACGGGTGAGGGATGATCCTATCAAAAGCGGGAACGAGACTGTTCTCGAGGGGACTGAGTCGCCATCGGAATCCGGGTGCCAATCGTTGAACCTGAACAAACGGAGCGATCGGCGATACGGTTCGTAAAGCCGTAAAAGCCAAAGTATTTCGACTCAACGGTATATAACGTAAGTACTCGTGTCGAATCGACACCGTGGAATCGTGGGCACAGAAACGCGCGCACTCTCCTTAAAGAACGCACGCATACACGCGTGCGTACCCGAGAAGCGGAGACGCGGTGCGTATGCATCACGCGAACGGAAAAATACTTCCGCTTCCTCCCCGGCTCTTACGTATCAAACTTGCACTATAAAAACGCTTTAACGGAATGGGACGTCCGCTTCGCAGACGAATTTCGATCGGAATGTCGAGTATTTCTTTACATCTGCTTGGGCGGCGCCTGGCGGATTTATCTCAAGCACAACAGCTTGGAAAGACTTACGTCGCGCGAGTTGAAACGTATCTTCTTAATTAATTTTTCTCGTACGCGAAGAAAAATTTCATGGAGACTATCGATACACTATTTGCAACATCTGTTAATTAATATACCGTAAATTCGGTGAAATATGTAACATATACATATTGTACATATTTGCTTTTCATGCTTGAGTTTGAAATTTTTTATTATAATTAAAATAAATAATATTCTAATAATTTTAAATTGCAACACTCAAGCTTTTAATTGGTGTAACGTACGAGTATTTAATTTAACTTAATTCGAAAAGCGAAAGCAGTTGCACAAAGTCCGCGTGTCTGACTAGTGCGAAAGCTATCTACTTATGTGCATTTGTGTCGTCTGCTTCTTATCCCGAATATTCAGCAAAAGTTCCTATCTGTCATTGAAATATATAATTGTTTTTCGCAAGTACATGTAAATTTCGACGTGTGCCCATCAGATTTTGTTTAATTATATATTTGACAGTCGAACGACTCGGCGATGTAATTCCTGATGATACGACACGCGGATTTGCTATTTTGGGAATTCCATTGGAAAATATGTTGTTCGTCCATCGTGCTGGGGATTGCCCGAACGATGTCGGATCCTCTTTCCGTATTTGACGTAATTAGCACGATTTCGAGGTTCCTGTTTTACGAGCGACGGGACCGGCGTTACTTATCTCTGACGGGTGATCGCCGCGCGATTCAATGACATGCATAGCGCCAGGTATTTCAGCACTTGTTCCGGAAAGTCAAGCTTGAACAGAACTGGGAATTGACGAGTCGGAGCGTGAAGGAAAGAATAGCAGTCTGAACGTCGGCGGGTACATACATCGGTAAACGATTCGGCTGCTCCGGCCTGTTCGCTTGTTAATGGCACGGGAGGATCCTGTCGAGATCCTGCTAAGGAGTAGCGGTGTAGAGCTTGTTGATAAAAAAGGAGCAGCAAGGATATTTCCTCGTTCACCGTCCCCCGCGCACCCTTGAGCTAGTAAAGCTAATTAAGAAATAAGTCGGACCACCAACGTCGGTTGATAATTTGCATGCTGCGGTACGAAGATCGAATAACGCGATATGAAATATTACTAATAGTATCGCGTAGATATTCCGAGGCATCACAACACTTTGCGATGCTATCTTCTTTAATAGGATAAACGAGAATTGACTGAGAATATTATTCTTTCTGAGAAATTAGAAGAATTTACCAACTTACGGATATCCATTATAATGAAAATAAGTAACAAAATAGTTTGCTTAAATGGAACAGAGAAAGCTTCTCTTCGATGTCTCGTCAAAGTAAATCTTATGCCTGGAAATTAATGTCAGTTGTGAAATTACGTGAATTTAATTTCAACAATCATTCTATCTACACTAACTTAATGATTACTTTGTGTGTGGAATTATTGTATATATAATAGAATTACGTTGCGGTGATATATGTTCAAAATGGGAGAGATGAAAATTATCGCCAATACCATCCGTGGCATCGAAGTTATTTCGCCACAGAGCGGACCACCTGATCGTGGTGAGACGATAGTCCGCGTATCGGGGCCAATTAGCAGTAATCCATACCGCCGATTGGATACCACGTTCCCACTGACTATATTCCCGATTGGATATCACTCGGCCATGACAAAGTCCCTCCTGCAAGCAGAGAAATAGCCGCGCGGTACGTCCGCCTTGGACTGGTTCTACTCTGAAAGCAGGAAGGCCCCCATCTCTATCCTATACTTCTCTTTCTCTCTTTGACTCGCTCGCTCGTATCTCCTTCTTTCTCTCCGACTCGCCGCTATCGTCCACTCGGTGCAAATCACTCACTAATTACATCTAAAATGACTTACACGTATGAGGCAGCCGAGACGGCTGCTGGAGAGTAGGAGGAGACCTTCGCATCGACATTGCAGACACACACACGCGGCTAATGGCGCTTGTACGCTGATTATGCATATTGATGGCTGGGTCCCCCCCGGTACGGCGATTGATTTCATCGCTAATTGTATCCAACCGTGTTGCTCGTTATCGAGAAAGGTGCTTCTCTCGCGCGCTCGTCTTAGCTCGCCTGCGAGTACGCATAGCGAGTACAAACAGCCCGAGTATACGGCGTTTATAGCGAAACGTTTTAATTAGGTCGGCTAATAGCGCTCGAAAGTGGGTCGTTCATAAAGACAATAAGTGTATCGTGAATTTGAAGATTATCGGCACGGTGCGCTTCTCACGCAGCACCCTCAATCAGGCACGCCGAGTTATTAAACCGGAGCCGATTCCGGTCGGTCATTTCACGGCGGCTTAAAATCGCTTCTCGACTCCGGTATCTCCAGACCGCTTCTCGTCTGTACGAGCCACCAGCATGAAGTCCTTACGAATGATCTTTTTTTTTTTTTTTTTCCCCCATTTTTTTTTTTTTCCACGCGAATCGATAAGCCCCTATATTAACGATGTAATTATCTGCTTCGCGTAATTAGAAGTAAATTAACTTTCTATCGTTTAAACCGTTTAAAGAGGATGTAAAAGATTATCGCTACGTAAATGAAGCACTTAGCGATCAAGGCGTCAACATATCGTTGACACATCTATACTCATATTTTTTTATCTCTCCTACTGTAAAATACGATTGTTGAATTAGATGCATTAAATTTTTGCTATCGTAATGATATTGCTTTCTTTCTAAAATTTGAATAATACTTTTTATTTGTAAGACTTTTCATTTCTCCTTGGGTCCAATTGTTACATTATGAGTCTACGACGATTTTATACGATCTTATACAAGGATGGCCCAAAAATGTATCCAAACGTTTCAAGTTCTTGTTAGTCTATTTTTTATATATGTATATTTGCGCATCGCTTCTTACGCTCCTGACTCAAATTTGCCTTTTTATATATATTACGTATTATTTATTATTTTTAATTATATTCTCGGTAATGTGAATTTAAAATAGATAATTACACTACATATACACAAATATTTCAATTCTTTTAATATATATTTTCAATTGTTTAGTTTGTTTGTGTATCTATCAATTAATTTAGTCGTAGATGATACTCTTGTAGAGATTTCTAACAAACATGACGTTGCTTATTACGGCGAAGTCTGTTCTTGATAAAAATTCGATAACATATCCCTTTTCTGGGGTAAGTAAACATTCGATTGTTCAGTGTGTTGATCGCGAGTACGACGTCGCAGTTATCGCGACGGTGTATGTTAAGACATTGACGTAACACGTTTATTTCGGGCCCGCGTCGCTCAAGCGATTCCACGAAATTCCCAAGACCGATTACACGAATTCCATCGTCGACTTCGCAAGTCTTATCTTCACGTACTCCTACGCAGTCTTTATCAGCTATTCCATTGCATTCGCGTCGAGAATATTTTTCCTCGCGCGTAAACCACTGCGATACTTGAAATCAATTATGACTGTAGAACACAATTACACTACACGACATAACATTTGTTTGTTTAATATGATAAATGCACTATTTTTTACCTTCTCGTTACCATATTCCCGCAAAAACTGTCAAGGTAAAGTGAGATAAAATCTATGAAACTCACACAAAAATAAACAATAAAAAAGTTTTTATTGTTTAAAATTCGAAATCTCGATACTAGTACATTAAAGGGGTAAAAGGGTCTTGATAAACGATAGATTTTCAATGGCTTCCTACTTTCATAACATAAGTTTGAGTGATTCCTACATTTCCGCGCCTTTCGAGTCCGCATCCGCTGTACGTAAATACGATATATATCTCGAATCATTCTGAATTCATCTGATTAAGAGCAAAGTCGAATATTTTTCGATTATTAGCCGGCTCTCATATTGAATGTAGATCGTAAAATATCCACGGACGTTTCCATCAGCAGCTTGATTTAATCTTCCTCCTTGAAAGCATTTTTCCGTCTTCATGGACGTCGGGGAGTATCTCGCGCGGCATTGGCTTATCCTCGACGCAAACGACCGACTAAATATAAATTTAATCGGCGCAGGATCGTTGCCCGAATCGATCGAACGCGGTGAACTGCCGTTCCCGATAGCTCGGGTTGCTGGGAGAGAGTGCCCTAAAAGTGCGCCCTCGCTCTTGTCTGGATTCGTCAACTAACCAAGTTTCGTATGACTAACCTCCGCTGACTCATCCTCATTCGCTACCGGAAAGATCCGTCGCAGACGAATTTTGGCAGGACCATTTTCTCCCGACGTCGTTGTGCAATACAGTCTCATCTATAGTAACGCGATATTACCGAATGCGTTTTCATTCGTCTGTGATTCTTCGTCCGGATCGTAATGATCTGCATCTTTCGATCGGAATTTCCCGACAATTTCGTCGTACGTGACCTTATTTTCCTGACGGTATAGCGAATAATAGTGACCTGCTCGGTAACGTTAAAAAAAGAAATGGAAAGCCAGTGAGAGCAGTCGTTTTTCTCCTCGAATCGTCAGAACGTTCGCCTCTGATAGCGCCGAGGTTCTGAGAAAAGAAACAGAGAGAGAGAGAGAGAGAGAGAGAGACGCGAAGGAGAGAAAAATAGTGAGAGTTAAGTGATGGTGGGTGGGCGAGATGGTTATTTAAATGCCCATAGGAACCATTAGAGATTACAGTCCGCCAAGTTGAGCGCGGCGATATGTTGCTTTTCGAAACAGAACTTTCCATGGCCTCCATACTTTTTCTTTCCCTCCGTGCCTTTTTCCCGCGACGACACACGTGCGGCTTTAGCGTGAAACGCTTTGCAGATCGCACGATGAACGAACTTGACCGGATTATGACAATTATGTCTGTTTAACGTGATATAGACGCGCGTTCACTCATATAGTCGCGTCTTCATCGACGCTCTCACCATACTGTATTTCGTTACGATGATGAACTCGTAGATGAATCATGTATTCTCGGTAATATGATAACGACTCGAAATAATACAGAACATTCTCTAGTTTTTGCAGTTTAACATCGAGTCACACACTCGTGCATAAAATTAAGATGTAAATTATATCGCCTGCTTACATCACTCGTTAGAAATTTTTTCTCATGTCTCTATCATTTTAATTATATCTCTCATAAGATAACTTGTAATACCAGGTTAATAACTTACATTAAGAAGTGTCTATGTTGGATAATTATATATATAAAACAGGTAGTTTAAATTATTAGTTTAAAATAATATATAAATTTATCATAATCATCGAAAATTGCAGTCGTGTAACGTGAGATTAGTGGTATCCGAAATAAGTCCGAGTCCTTTTTGAAATGTCGTCGCACCTGAAACTTTCTCAATGTACTTCGCGTGATTTACGCTGAAATACGTTCTTGATTATCGCGATCACCCACATCGAGTCGTTGGACACGAAAGTATGTGTGACGATACATATAGCGGCTCGTTTTCTGGAGAGATATCAGTTCCCAGATGTCGGTCACAACGAGCGTAGTACGTTGAAGAGGGCACGTTGCGTTATCGGCGACGAAATGAATTCCTAAAACTCAATTAACCGTGGTCTCTTTAACGGCCTCGGTTTAACGAACGAGACGAGACGAATAATGAATGTAGGGATACACTTTCGATCGGGCTGAGCTATCCGTTGGTTCATCCAAAACCGATACCCGCCCTAAGAGCATTGGATGATCCAACCCTTTTAAGTAGGTCTAAGTAAAACGCTAGGAATGCAAGGGATAGCTTAATGGTACTTCATCGGTGAGGTACCGGATCAGTTTCAATGGTGACTCATCGTGGGACGATACCGTTGCAACGTCGATACGTTTCACAAGTGTAAAAGAATGTTTACAAGCGTTTTACGAGGGTATCAATCGAATTTCAGTTCACAGTTAAAAGTCAAAATAATTATTAAAGTAATAATAAAATTATAAAATAATTATCAAATTCTCACACACAATATTGGTACAATATTTTGATTATTTTGAATTTGCAATAAATTATTGACGTTTTGAAGCCATTCTTGTGATAATAATAATACATCTACATTACGATGGCCAATTGATTGCAATCTACGTGTAAAAAGAATATGTCATTTGACAGAGTTGACAGTAATAATTGCCGCACAGAGAGCGATTGTCTACAAAATAATTACAAAATTCAAATGTGACTTTATGATCTTACATTTGGAATATACTATGTTTTTAAATTAATGAAAATCTCTCGTATGTTATTTTGCAGACTACATTATTACGTTATTATAATGATAATTAATTATACTACTGTAATTATATTCGATATATCAAAATTCGCTGCTCGCGTATGATTCTCGAAAACTAACAAATCATTGTAGACAGTTTTTCTCTCGCAGTAATGACATTTGCTCATCTACCCCTTGCACTCTCGCCACTCTGTAGCCGTTTTTTTTTCCTCGCTGGGGGTGAGGAAGGGGAGGATGACGAGGAGCGTGTCAGAATGAATGTGACGCCGGCGGACGTCGCGGCTTCCGAGCAAAAACCACGTCGCGCACTCCTCCTCTCTCGCGTGACTCTTCTTCTTATTTGCGCTTTCTCCTCTCTTTCCTTCCTTACGTTCCTCTCTTCTCCTTTCCATTCTCTCCTCCCCGCCTGCACGTCCCCCGGCCGTGGTACACTTGACGCACGACAGTTCTCTACGTGCCGTTTACAGGACGCGTTTAGTCGCTCGTCGCGTCTCCTTATCCATTCTCCATAAACGCACGACGTCGACGGCCATCCACCACTTCACGTGGCACCAGCCTGGACTGGAGGACGCACACGAGTGTGCTGCTCGGTGCTCTGGAAGGAGGAAAAAGTCAGGCACGATCAACGAGATCGTTTGCGCGCGCCGTATCCTCTACGCCGGCGTACTTCCGTCCGCAGGACGTTCCGCGTTGTTTCGACTTTGTCAAGTGAACGTGTTTTCCGCGTCTGATCCTTTACACGCAGATCGCAAGTAATCGTGGCCACACTGTAATGGATCTATTATTACCACGAGAGTGGAAGCTTTAGCTTATGCTATAACGTAAATATTATGCGTATTTTATGATTCTAGTCTGTATGCTAATTATATTCGAGTGTTTGCGATACGAAGTGTAAAGATATATATATATTTTCACACGAAGTGAAAATGACAAAAGCAACATGTTTTCCGTTAATTTTTGCTATTAGGTAAAAATACCAAAATGATCAATTGCGCATTATTTAATTAGTACGACTGGTACATAAACACTTAAAAGTTAAGTCAGAAGCAATTATGCCTTTCTTAGAAAATTGAAATATTTCGAGCAATAATCTCACGCACATATAACATATTATTCATGACGTAAAAAGTAACGCGATGACAAATTTGATGACAGTCCGCCGTAATCTCCTGGAATTCGGAGACAGAGTCGTATTAAATAGACGGATTAGCAAATGTTTCTTCGTAGAAGTGATGCGAATGACACATAAATTCGACAAGAAGGTCAAATTTCAAATGTATAGTCGCGACTATTTCCAAATCACTAGTCATTAACAGGCACATGATGTTTGAATTTAATCTTCGTGATGTATAATATACGTGGAAATTAAATGTTGTCTGAAAACACTTTGATATTATATTGTTTTAATTGGAGAGAGATCTAAATTTTTTCTCCATTTGTGTATATATCAAGAACACAAAAAGGAGTATTTTTATTTATATCAATCTGATTTGAGAATAATCAGAAGGTAGTATAAACCGATAAGGTTTTTCTAAGCTGTGGGGAGATTAGGCTTTTATGATCGTGATAAGATGCTTCTTTATTGACATAAAATTTACTCCCTGGTGTATTTGTTTCACAATTCTATTTTTGAGTATCGTAATCTATTAATGTGTGACGCATTCTAATATCGCTGGAAATTTCTCTTTATCATCTCTATCTACGTTAAACTTAGGTAATTTAGTAAAATTATCCCAAAACCCGTCTAATCTCGGTTATTTCAATTATTTCAGAAGAAATTTCGAAAAATTGTTATTTCATGCTTATTAATCAAGAAAGAATAACAATTCGTTGATCTGCAGATGTGCCAATGATACGTGATTGCGGTTACGATGATTGTATATTGCGATCAGGCAGTTAGCGGTCGAATTTACTGGTTCTAAATCAAATCATGACCCGCGTTACGGGTTGATCTTGATCGTAACGCTGGCGATGCGACGCGTTGCCGCCATGATT